TTAGTGAGTGAGAGTGTCTGCTATCAATTAAAATTAGACGAAAGTGCCTATACCAAGTGTATAAATGATTAATTAATAAAAAAAAAAAAACTTGTGGGCAGTGCTCCCATTGCACAGCTGCATCTTGTGGTCCTTTACTGATCCTGTTCCCCTTTCTTCTTTCCTGTTGTTTCCTCTCTTTCTACTGTTCTATCAAAATAAAGGCAAAAAAGGCCATAAATAGAAACAACGAAGTGATACAGCATGCCCATATTAGCGTTAATTTGCATTTTAAATAGGAATATTAACGAGCTGTTTCATATGTAGGCCTATAGAGAATGTGAAGCTATGTCACGCCGCGTTGCATGCTGAGGCGCCGCCGCCATTCTGGGAGGACCACCCTCTGCTACAAATGCTGAAATTAATACGGATACCTGCTTATCTTTTGTTTTGTTTTTGTCTTAAGTTAAATATTCACATTCTTCATTGGATCGTTTGCAGGGAAGAGAAGCTATTTTATCGCTTCGCATGATAATTAGATTTTTTTTTTACCTCTTAAGATATGTAGAATTTCGTTTACTTTGATCTGATTAGCGTGAAAACAGTGCCGCCCGCTGTACACTCGCTGCTGCTTCAGCCATCAGGGCCGTCCTTAGTGGGGTGCAACTGGTACGGTCGCACCGGGCCCCGACTTGAATTAAATCCCTCTAAGATTGTGAACAGTTTTGTAGCATTTTAAAATGCTGGTTTAATGTGGTAAGACAGTGATGCTAAAAGACATGCAGATGAGGCCAGAATATTAACGCAGCTTGTTTAATTACACATTAAGCATTTTCGTCCCTTTAGAAAATCGTAATGAAGAAAACACTTATGCATTAAGACAGTATTTAAAGTTCATATTTTGGGTTCATCCGTTTTTCTGCAGATATAATTTATTAGTAAGATGTGTACAGAGTGTGGTCTTTTAATATCACTGTCTCAGTGCATTAAGCATTCTTTATAGGGAAACGCTTAACGTGTAAATAAACGCGTTGCGTTCACATTTTGGGCTTATGTGCTTATCTGCACTTAGTATACGCTTTACAATTTTGTTTTTATCACTGTCTTGGTACATTAAGCCACATGAAGCGTTAAGGGTTTTAATGTCCCTGTTCAAGTTCTTCTAATTCACCCCAAGTAGAATTCAACCGTCAGCTTCACATTCTCTAATGTCATTCCAGAGACTTTTTGTACTACACATTATTCAGTTTCTTAAAGACACCCATAAACCAGCCATAAAGAGGTTTGATATTCAGAATATTATAGAGCAGTAGCGTACATCAATTTTTATTTTCTTCATAGAAAATGTTCCAGCATTCTAACTAATTACTGAGGTGTGACCTGAAAGGCCGCATACAGTGAAAAATATAGCCAAATTGGGCACTGGTGAAATATGTTTTATAATGAAATATTTGCAATTTATATGTCAGCAAACAATTACTACTTTTGAATCATAAATGAAGAAAGATACATTTTGCACCCCGATGATCTACCAGTAGGGCCTAGCATGGCTATGCTAAGTGCTAAACAACAAAACCTACAGCTCTTCTGTCGAAGAAAGTGCACAGGCAGTTAATAACGCACGACCTCGTGTGGTAGTGGTGCGAATCATCACAATAGTGATTTGACTCCAGATCAGCAGGTGTCGCTGTGTAAAACCCCCATATTTATGTTGACGTTCCTGAGCTCGCGTTGCACTCTGGGAGGTTTGTCCTCTTTAGATGTCATTCGGCTTTATTTGAGAAATAAGAGAAAATCAGTATGACTGGATACTCAGCGGATGAAAAACTCCGCTTTGAGCAGTTAACAAAGCTTCGGCGGCAGTGGCTCAAAGATCAGGAGCTTAGTCCTCGAGAACCCACCGTTGCACCCAAAACACCCGGCCGCATCGAGCGATT